TGGCGGATCGGATGGCGTAGTGGATAACCCGACGGGCTCTGGATGACCGGCCAGGGGAGACTTTGTGGATTGGATGCTCCTCGCAGAAAATATTTTGCATTTTTCAGTTTTCCATTCATTCTCGTGCCTAGTATGTGTCTGGCAGTGGAAATAAGTCAAGTATATGCCATTTGAAGGTATTTACTTGTGGCCACATAGTGGCCTGAAAGCGTGCTTGTGCTGCCCGTAAACTGCATATCAGAAATCGGGTTTATTGCAATAAAATACCATCAGATTTATGTTCAGAGGGTTGGAGATTACCCCTTGGGGACTAATTTCTAGCCAAATCTGACGTTTCGACCTAACCTGGAGAATGTGGAGCATTCTATGGACAATTAGCAGCAGGCTGGGTCCACCCACCATGGATGACTGGTCTTGGGATGGAATTTCCTACCGGTAATCAGGAAAATGATGCAGGCGGCACGAACAAGTGAGCCAGGTATTGTTCTTTGCGAAAAGACATGACTGAAGGGTTATTTCAGTGCAAAGACCAGTCCATCACAGTATTGTTACTCGTGTTATGATTGGCCTTAACATCCAGGACTGCGACCGATCTTCTACCCCATTTTTCGAAGTTTGAGCTCAGAACCTCGGGTTTCCTCAAGGTTTCTTTTTTAGAGGTTGTTTGACCCCCTGAACACGAATATGATCTATTTCGCCCGGAGAGAGCTGTGAGTCGCGCTACAGGTGCAAATTCTCTGCGCTAGCCCACCCGCAAGAAGAAAAACAGTGAAGGAAAACCTCCATAACTCCGCTCAGAGAATCGTTCCGCAAATTTTGAAGGTAGTTTCGAGTTCACTGTGTTAAGACGAGTACAATGATATGCACTCACTGCAAATGGCCAGGTTGTCCCGGTGGCTTTCCTGGATGACACCTTACAAACCAGCACAGTTGTGTGGAGAGCCTTCGTTTTCGCGAAATGTTCCGTCTCTCGTTGCGTTGATAGAGATGCAAAACTGCTGCCGCAATGAGGATCCGAACCGAGTCCCACACTGTCGCGTCATCCAGGACTCATCGAGCTATCCGCTACGCCATCCGATCCGCCAGTAATGGTCATGAAGGAGCGCTGACAAAAACATCACTCTTGCGTCGGTGCATGCCAAGTGTGTTACCACATGATACTTACATTTTGACTTTAATCGAATCTATTTTGAGGCCTAATTAGTGACCACCTCATAAACTATGCATGCTCGAAGTTACAAGCAGAACGGAGCTTAGTTACACCCGTTATAGACCCTACCAAAAGCAACAACACATTCACCAAAAAAGCGCGCCATGAACCTGAAAAACCTCCTTCTTAAGAGGACTACTATATAGCAGAATCCTGCTATATATGAACCTGCCTAAGTTGGAGCCGATGTGTGTGTGTGTGCGTGTGTGTGTGTCTGCTGCCTGTCTGTCTGCACGAAATTCATAGCGACCGTCCCAGTTGCTGTAGGAAGTTGATTCCAAGCAGTGGTATAGGGGCTGAGACGAGAACATTATTGGTGAGGGGCAGGGAAGGATATCGCTAATAAGATCGATAAGAGGCCTCAGAAGGGGAGGGTCACCAAATTCGTAACGCAGGTTGGCAACAGTGGGACCTTGGATCCGAGAGGTGATATAGGGTGTGGGACGGGAACATTATTGGCGGGTGACAGAAAGTGATAACAGTTGATAAGATTCCGATAAGGGTCAGGGGAGGATCACCAAATTCGCAACGCAAGTTACAGCAACGGTGGGAGCGTGATTTCGAGAAGTGATTTAGGGTGGTATGATAGTGATATGGGCGGGGATATTATTTGCGGGTGACGAGAGTGATGGGAAATGATAAGAGCTGATTAACATGGAAAAATCCGCTACACCGCTCACAGCAGCAATGCGATCGATATGACTCAAGTATAACGATCTCAATGATTCCAACAGAACTCATTCCTCACCGCTCATCAGTAGCGGAATCATGTACGACCGCTAAGCTAGCTCTATTCCAAATGCATGGGGTTTGTTTACAGAGATGTTATGAACAGCAGCAACTTGACTTAATCACTCTTATCAGAACTATCTTCCATCAACAACCTCAGTGAGGGCCATTCAAAGCGTTCCACTGCTGAATGCGGGAGTGCATTCCAAAGCAAGACGCTTTAAGAGGGGGATATGAATCAGTAGGATCCTTCAGCGGCTAATCTAACATGCTGCTCTATTCCCGTGTAGGTTATGAACGTACCAGTCGGATCGCTGGCTAACGCCGGCGCTCCTCCTTCTGTGATGCGGGCGCTGCTGCTGCTTCTGCGTCTTGACAAAACGGGCGCTGCTTTTCAGTTCTTGGCTGATGCAGAACATTCCTTTGAACAGTGTGGTTGGTCAACGATCCGTAACTTAGCACGCAGCAAATCCGCATGCCCGGCGAAGCCGGGCCATGTCACAGAAGGAGGAGCGCCCGGCGACAGCTGGGCGATCCGACTGGTAATACAATATCATAATGAAACGAGCCAACCCGTTTGGCACGTATGCATGCATAGCTCGCAGAACTATAAAGCTCCATGAGCAGTGCAATGCTGGAAGACGTGGCGGTCTTCTGAGGCAAGGAAGAATGATGCTGTGGGGCGCTTCAACGACCAGTTTGAAGGGATGCCTAACTTTTCCCGTCAGTTAGGTCGCGTTCTTACTTTGCAGCAGCGTCCACCGCCAACCACTAGCGTTCCGAGCGTCCGGCAGCGGCAGCGACTAGGAAAGTATAGGTACCTCTAGCGTCTGCCAGCGTCCACCATCGTTCATCAGCGACCGGAAGCAGAGTTTCGGGAGGTGGGAGGGTAGCAAACAGCTGGATTAGGTGTCGTGAAGTTGCGGCGTGTGTAACCGCACCCACACCTGCTAAAGCACAGAATTGCAATTCAATGTGAGCTGTCGGAATCGGACCCTCAGCTTCACCATAGGAATGCTGAGATATTGGCAAAATTCAGATTCAGAGCTGAACGAACCCGAGTCTTCCGCTGACCGGATGAGTGCGTTACACCTTCTACCCTCGCAGTAGGGAAGATCGTAGGTGAAAGTAGCCATTTGTGATGAGACACAGCGGAGCATGATTTTAGACGCTGAATTCAAATCTGCCCTAGAAACCTGCAGAGCGATTCTATGAACATAGTTATGGAGCTTTTTCCTCCGCGTCTACCGAGGAACAGGTCGTGGAATCGGACCCCTACTGGCTTAAATTTTTTGGTTCTCGAAGAAGCATGGCAAAATGCGTTGTGGCGTGACTTGTATAACTGCCCACTCAAGATTGCTCGAAAAATCGTGCAACTATTACTGCTCTTGGGCGCTTTGTCATCTAGAAGAAGATTTGGCTGCACAGGTGCCCGTGGCGCACGCATGACACAGGCGTTTTGGCGCTGAGCGAGTGTCTTATTCGTATGAAGCGGGTCACACTACGTCTAGGTAAATGTTTTAGCCAAATCTGACATTCTGACCTGACTCCGAAGAGTGAAGCACCTATGGGGTGCAGTTCAATTCATGTTCATACCTATTCAAGTACATATGCATTCTCCTGCGTAAAGCCTCATCTCGCCATTTCATGGCACATTCATTCTGTTGCTCCAGTTCCCCTGATATCTTGAGGCAATTTCCGTCCGAAGACAAGCATTCCATAACAGACTGGGCCTCGAGTCACTGGCTGGTACATTCACCCACTACTAACTCGCTTTTCAAAGTTGGGTCAAAACCTAACATTTGGCTAGAAATCTGTCTCTATGGATAGTTTTGCTCCCTGACCGCGATGACTCCGTTTTCCTTCATTTCAAACCTTTACAACTCTGTTCAGAAGTCGTTCTGCAAATTCCGAATGAAGATTTAGATGAGTGTCCAAAATCCGTTCCGAGAACTATGTCTCTATACAGAGGGCCA